GAAGGACCTTAGAGAGTCTCAAGGGCCCCAACAGCACATTGGCTAATCTTGTCAAGACTTATTCAGCTTCTTTAGTTTTATTTTATTAACATGGAAATGTTTCAGGAAGCACAACACATCTAAAAAAGAGATAATGCTCCACTAATCAAATAAAGCTTAATTCATCCTACGCTCAAATATTTCCTATATTTATATTTTATATCTTCCATTTATGCCTAATCAATATTCTGTTAGGAAAGCACAAATTAATGAACATCAACACATAATGTATTTAATAATGAATATTCGTTTCCACAACACGTCTTATGAGATAACATAACTCACAATTCATGTACAGGGAAATGGGAAGTGCAGCTTGTGAAATATCGGCAAAGCAGGCTTGACAGGATAACGTGTTTTGGGCCATGTGTCCTGGCATGTTCTCTCCTGCCCGAACACAGATATAGAACAAGCCTTATATGTATATTTATCAAAAACGCATTTTGAGCATATCATTGCCAACGCACACATATTTTGGCTTTAGCTTAATTCACTTTAGACCAACGACACTCTACGAAGCGGCTGCTGCTGCTGCTGATGATGATGATGAAAATGGCCAGATGGCGACGAGGATGACACTGCAGCCTATCAGAGTGGCAAAAGACAGGCAAATGTCAAGCCAACGCCAGCGCCAACGGCAGCGCCCGATGCGCAGTACATATTTTTCGTCAGATTCAAATGTTGTGCTCTGGATACAGTTGCCTGGTTGTGTTATACTCCGAGCTGTCATGTGTTAAATTAGGAGCACGGCAGGCGCCAGAATCGCTCAGCTTTCAACGTCAGCTGCCCCCATTCGCCCATTCGCAGCCGCCTGTGCACGTGTCGCATGATGTATGACATTTTTGCGCCTCATAAACAGCCACATTCACCGGCTGGTAATCAGGTGTTCACAATCCAGCGCACTCCACGTGTCGCTAGCCATTTTGCTGCTGCTGCTGCTGCTGTTGCTGCTTTGTTTATGTGCCCAACATTGAGGGTCCAAAATACATATCTGCTCGCCCAGCTCTGACCCACCTGCACTGCAAAGTGCCTCAGGCAGCATGTGGGTCCGACCTCTGCCTGTGGTTTGTTTAGTTAGTTCAGTCAGCGCCGAACGGGCGGCACTGGGCTCTTTGTTTGCCTTAACGAAATTGGTACGAATGGCAACGGCGTTTGCCGTCATGTTGACAATTTGCTCTCCTGCTCATACTATAAACTGACTTATTTGCCTCAACAGTGCAATTTAAATGTAGCAAAAGTTGCTTGACCCCGCCGGCAGCAGTTAAACCAGGCCAACATTAACACGTGTTAATACAAAGCAGCTACCTTTTTTTGTGGGGCGAAAATTACGTTAACTAGGGTGAAAATTTGATGAAAGCAATTTTTGTTCTGTTTAAAAAAAAAAAGATAGAAAATATTTGCAAATGAATTAAATATTAATTTGTGTGGTTTTGCGGAAATTATGGTTGAAGTGAAAAAATGATTGTGCTCAGATTTTAGGAAAACGTAAGCAGAACTTAACATTTACATTTACATTAACATGAAACTGTTAACACTGATCTAGTTGGCATGTTCCAATTGGAAAACAGTCTGATTTTGTAACATATGAATAGAAATACATTTTTAGTTTTTTGGTTACATTAACACAATTTTCTGAGACTCCATGGGTGATTTTTAAAATAATTTTAAATAATAAATTGTGTGTTCTTTTCATGCAGTATTTTTATTTTATTTTTATTGGTTAAATGAAAACATAAATGGCAAATAAAAATATGAAAATGTATTCAAGACATGTTTATACATGAATTCAAAAGAATAAAATTCTGTATTGTAATGTCTTTTGGAGTAGCAAAAATATTCTTCGCAGTACACAGTGAAACTTAAATGAAAGAAAATACATATACATATCTAATGGGTCAGCTGGGCTGCTCCATTGGTCCTCAATGCAGATTCATCGAATTACAACTGCAACATCTGACTAAAACAAATTGTTAAATCGATTGCCCTGGAAAGTGGTGTGGGTGTCTGTTGTGAGTTTGCATAGATTGTGTCATCGTTAGGCTGTGCCAGTGTCCGAATTCTCATTAAAAAGACATCTCAATTTTATTTGCATAAATCGAAGTCAATGCAGATGCGAAGGACAGAGCTCAGATACACTGTCATCGCACAGAATATCATGGCAAATGGATTGCAAAGCAATTAGGAATTGATTTTTAAAATATATCAAGCGCAAAATTTAGTTGTATATGTGTTTCTACACAAGGACACAACATAAATGACTCCAATGACAAACTGTTGGCAGTGACTGTTGGGTCATAGTTGACTTCCCCGGGAGGAAGGATGAGCCGCAGCTGATGGAGCTAGACCAAGGCTCGGACTATGACATTTTTTACGCTGCGCTGCAAGCATATTCAACTTTTGCTTTCATTGAGTAGAATAAAAAATTCAATTAAATCGCACACACACTGACAACATTGAAAGCCAGCGCCAAATATATACAATATTTGGAGCGGAACGCTCCAAATAATAACAAAAGCCAGCAGATAGAGCAAAGAGGGCGCCAACCCCAAGTGTTCAACCAAAAGCTACCCTGTATTTTCTACATAACAGAGAGCAACATTTTGTCGCTGCATATAATACTATAGAAAAGCCTATAAACTCTGCTTTCCAAATGCTATGATATGTAGCCAATAAAATGAGAAGATTTAGCGACTTATCCTAATGGAACAGGAAATCTTAGTGAAGCATGATAAACACAGGATCTGTGCATTCAGTCTACATTCCTATAATTTATAGCAAATAAAATCAGGAGATTTGGTAAATTATCCCATTGGACTAGTCAATCACACATTTCAAATAAGACAAATGCATTTATGCTAATTTTGTTGATTAACAACACTAGCCGGATTCCATTAACAGCAATCGCTCTTCTCCCACATTGCTATGCTATGCTATGCTCTTAACAGAATTATGTTAATAGCATAACTGCATCAGCAGTTCTACTGGTTCTCGGTTCTTAGCGATTCCCGCTCTAACTTTTACTCATCTTCCTAACATCTAATTTATACGAATACGACTAATAATAAAAATAACAATAATTGAGAGAATGCAAAGCTAAGTAACTTCTTTATTTATTAATAAAGTCGAGCATACCTTGATATATTTTTCTAAATATCATACAGTTTGTGTAGGGTATATTTCATTCGTGTTTTGTAAAATAGGAACTGTGCAGCGCGACGCTTTGTGGAAGCTGGCGAGTATCCAGCGTGTTGTCGCTGCAAACTGCAAACTGAACAAAGAAACTTTAACTATTTAAATTCATTGTTTTCGAACAATGTAACATGGCAACACTTAGTTTAAGACACGTATGCAAATATATAGTAAACAGTATATGCAAAGCAGCAACATGCTCCCGAATGCAGGCTGGCTATACCATATAGTATTCTCTAACTGCATATATGTATATCATTAAATATACATGAATGCGTGTTTAATTCATTCAAATTCATCCTCTGTATTTATTTATGATATTTTTATTAATAATTGCAAAATTCAAATAGCGTTCTTAAATGTCTTTGCCACACATAATTGTAAAATATTGGCGGAGAAGCGTGAAAACGTGTTTAATAATTAAAACGAGTGCCTACGACTGGCGCACCTCGCAAATTTGGAAAATAGCGCCAATAGTAATGGAGGAAAATAAATTTATTTGTCGCGTTGCCGGGCTATTGAAATAGATGGACCCTTCGGAGGGTCTGGGGGAAACTGGAGCTCATCTGCGCCACCAAATGCAAATAAAATGCAAAGCCGAATTTACGGCGGCTGCTTTTCAATTGGCGGGTACAAGTATAGAGGGCGTAGTAGGATCTGAGAACGGAACGGAATGCCTGACAGGCGGGTCACGACTGTCTATGTGTGTGTGTGTGTGAATGTGTGAGTGTGGGTACATTTTATGGCGGATTTTCGACAAAATATAAAAATAAAATTGGATTTTAGCGTAAAATGTTGAATGCCGTAAATATTTTTCAATTCAGTGGCTCGGTCCATAGCTCGTGCGGTCGAGCGTACGGGAGCATCCATATGTATGAACGATGATTTCCCCCGGGGGCAAAGGGCTGCGGTTGCGGCGACTGTCAAAAGTATTGGGAATCGTGTGCAAATGATTTGCCGAAATCAACTCAACGACACGCAAAAACAACTTCCTCCCCCCACTCCCCGCACTCAACTAAAGTCAAAAGCTGTGGGGCACCAAGTGGAAGAGGCGCAACATGTGCAAAATGCTGTATTATTCAAAAGCCCACCCATAAGGCTGTGTGCCCCATAACACCCCAGGCGAAACTAATCCATCGCCAATAAAAAAAATAAAAGAAACACAAAACCGTATATACTCCTTTTCCATTGCCATTTTTGTCGCTCGACCGAGCTTTGTTGAATCCTGCTTAAAACTCATTTGCTTTGATGGCGTTAAATTGATTTGCTTGCCTATTTGTTTTTGGAATTGTTGCTGGTTTTTTCTTAGCTAAATGCCGTTAAATCGTGCTTCCTTACCCTTTTTCTTTTAAATTCTCCCATGGTTTCGCATTATCCATAGTTGCCTTAAGGCAAAATAGAAATAAATAGAAATATTACCAAATAAATCTCTTTTTACGTATCAAAACATTTACATATCCTATATATTGAGCTATTGCATTTATTTAGCTCTATATTTATTTGTTCACTTTTGTATTTGATAATGTATTTATATATTTATTCAGTTTTCTATTTATTTATTTCATTATTAGATATTAAAGTATTTTTAGGCTTGCGGCTTTTTTTGTATTTCATAATATATAAATTATATGTTTTTATTTCTTATAAACTCCACTTGAATGCATGCTCATGCCTGCAGTGAGCCACGCCAAAGGTAATTTTTGACAAGCTGGCATACATATATTCAGATCACTTGTAAATTTGCATTTGCAGTCACTGTGTATTGAGACTCAAATGTCAGCATTACAATAGAAACATCAAAATGTCAGTATTGTTAAAAATATTTTTGTTAAATTTAGTTTGTTGATGTCGGCTGAAGGGGCTTTTGCCCACCTCCCTCGCCAACAGAAAACCAATGCGAATCCGGTATAGGAACGTGCAGAGGACACTCAGTCGCTGGCACAGTCATGCTTTCAGTAAGAAATACCTACTGTTCACGAACCTTGGTGTCTCGATCGGTTTAAGTATGCTGGGTGACACATTCGAGCAGTCATACGAGCGATACACTGGCCAGATCCAGGGCTGGGATCGGACGCGTACCCTGCGAATGGGCATCTCTGGCTTCACTGTGGGCATTGTTTGTCATTATTGGTACCAATATCTGGACTACTATTACCCCAAACGGAGCTTCAGTACGGTTGTCCGCAAAATTATTTTAGATCAATGCATTTGTTCGCCATTCTACATCAGCATTTTCTTTCTAACCATGGGCTTATTGGAGGACAAATCCTGGGAGGAGGTGATGGAGGAGATTCATGACAAGGCTTGGACACTCTACAAAGCCGAGTGGACCGTGTGGCCGATCGCCCAGATGATTAACTTTTTTTTCGTAGCACCAAAATATCGAGTTTTATATGACAATAGCGTTAGCTTGGGCTATGACGTGTTCACTTCCAGAGTAAAGTACGCAAAAAAGCCAGAGCCGCCGAAGAAAGTTTCCGGTGCCAGAGCATTGGATTTATACAACGTGTACAGCAATCAGAATAGCCCAAGACCAAATACAACATAAAACTTCTAGATACTCACACTTTCGCGCACATCGAATACCAAAGCAAAAATGAAAATTAATTACGAAAATATTTCGCACACCGATTCGCAACAACTCTTGCGATTTCCAAACTCTATACACAAATATTAAAATAATAAAAATAATTTAACAAAATAACAAAATAAAAATTGCAGATATGCGTAGTCTACATATTGATTCCTGTAGTCGTTTGGGAGCAGGACGTCTTAAGTGTCCTCCCATCCTCCTATCCGCAGGCTGGATTCTATTGATTGTGCAATCTAAAAGATGTCAAAGTTTAGAACTTTTAAAAACATTTCTACTGTAGGCGCGCTAAATTAAAAAATATATTATTTATTTCGAAGGCTTTGAGCTAAAATATTCCAACTTTTTTTAATTTTGTTTTTTTTAATAAATGCATATATAAAAGCTGAAAATGAATAAACTGAATCGAACAGTGTTAGTCAAGCCAATAGCTGGGAGTTCAAACAGAAGATGACCCATTAAACCAAGTCACTAATATGAATTAAAAATGTGTCAAAGTGCAAAACAAAATTCAGCTTGGCTTGGCAATCATTTATAGTATTTATTCGTGATCAAAGTGAAGGGCAATAGCCATTTATTCGTATTTACTTTCTACTTTTGATCAATTTATGCTTTTCATGCCCCATGAGTATTATACAATATATTGTAGCTGGACTCTCGAACTAGCTGTTCATTATTTCATTCTTGGATGGCTCAAAGCCTCAGTCTAGCCACATAATGCGAGAGGCTAAAGCGACTTTTGTGTCGTCAATGTGGAGCAGGCGTTTAAGCACATGGCGTTACGGTGTGACGGCTGTTAAAGACCAGATAGGATGAATGCCATCGAACACTTGAGAGATAGCACTTGAGCCGTGTGCTCTTGACGAGGAATTGTGTCAAGCAGACAAAACAAAACCAAAAAAGCAACAACAACGAACAGCACAAAACAGAACAAGACAAAATAAAATAGAAGCCAAAACATGACAGCCGCATACAAAATGTAAAAACATCAAGTGACGAAATTGATGTCAAGACGAGAAGAGATGAGTGGGGCGTGCGAGAGGTACATGGATAGACTCTGGGCATCCGCAGTGCTGGAGGTTTTCAGGGCTAGCGCGAGTTCACACCCTTACACACACACACACACACACACAACCACACTCATATACACACACGTCGCCTAATCCAATTTAAATCTCTTAACATGATTTGCCGCTTTCTTTTCATTTTGCTGGATTTTATGCCATTATCCTTTCGGGCTGCCCTGGCAACCGAATTGCCAAGCAAAACACGAGGCGTCGCTGTCATCGCTAGCGCCATCGCCATTGCCATCGTCCGGCTGGCAAGTTGACTTCCTGTCCTGTGCTGCTTGTCTGCCTTTTATCTGCCTTGAGCAAGAAGGACGCGCGCAAGGACATCCGTGGAGTATGCCCAAAAGGGTTCATTTATTTGGTTTAGTTGTCGCTCCGCTTGCCTTACCGACTCTATCTGTATTTTGTGATTTAATTTAAAAGCTCAGCAGGCGTGTGGACAGACACACAGACGCACGGACGGACGTACGGGTAAAGTTTTTTGAGGCAAAGCTCAGCCGTGTTAGGTCCGGAACGTGTGTGCGGTTTAGGTCCTGCATGCGTCTGTCTGTCCTGACTGAGTCTCTCTGCTTGTGTGAGTGTGGGTGTGTGGTTAATGTGTCTTAAATGAGAAAACGTGTCCGTGGTTTTTCTCACCTTTTAATGCATTTAAATCAGCCACAGCGCCATTAGGTTCAGCTGCTGCCGAGAGACAATGTCATATAGATAATTTAAGAGCCAATGAGCTGAGCCAACCGCAGTATCTAAAGGGTCATCAAATACCCAAGGGGTTCACCACAATTGTGTTCAATTATACTTGATGTCTCTATAGTTTGCAAACAGCACAGTTATAGCGTTAATAGTATATATTTATTGATTATCCATCTGAGCATAGACCAGAATATCTTGTAAGCTGCCTTTGCTTATTATCCGAGCTGTCAATTTGTTGGGGAATCCATCACAGTTTGCAGTTGGCATTGTAATTGACACCTGCAGCTATCAATGAGATATTTCAGCACTTTTCTTCTCTCACCCCAGCTCTCAGCTATTGTTGCATTCGTAATTCAGTGAGTCAGTGACAAAGCAAGTGAATCATTGAACTATTGAACTGTTTTTCTTTGCTTGTGGCTTTGCTGCTCGTCACAAAGGACTTAAAGGACAGCTGCTTAGCTAATGGCTGGCACATTATTCGTGAAACTATTTATTAATTAGTCAGGATTAGAGGGTTTTTAAGAATCTGAACTATTTATCTTGTTGACATAGCCTTAGACTTGACGGATAAATAATTTATCAAATGGACTGCTTACTCTAGCTCTTAAGCAACAGCGGGAAATGATTAAGTATCTATTCACAATTGTTGCTATTCTCGGAATAGAAAATGCATAAATAAAATCTAAATAATTTAGTTAGTTGAGTATAGTTTACGCATAGCTGGAAGAACGTTTCTTAATATATTATCTTTAATCGAATCGCCTACCGTCAATATTTACTCGGTTGCGTTGGCGTTCACCCAACTCTAAGATATTATGCCAGCGGCATTGTCTGATAGACCATGTCGAAAGCAAAATGTAATCGAGCATGTTTGTCGTTGTGGAATAATTTATTTTGGCCTGGCGTTCTTTTGACAGCTGAAATTTTTCAGTCAAACGCTTCCACTTGATGCCGTCCAGTCTGCAGCACTCAAATTGTACGCGCTGGCCGCTTTTTACTGTTTGGGTGGCTAACCAGCCGTTAAATGATCGTACAGTAAAATGTTTCCGAAAATGTATAATATCGTGCTGCAACACTGTAGTTGGTACTCCTAACTCGGGAGTCTCAAGTGGTCCAACTTGGCAAATGATTCAAAACTTTTAATTGAAAACTTTTAGCCGGAAAATTGAATGTGCATTAAAGTGCGCATCAAGTGAAGTCACCAATCACATTAAATTACAGCAAACAAGTCTCTCGCATTGCTCCAAAGGACGTTTCGCCCATTTAAGCAAAATACCTACCTTCAATATTGTGTTGCCGCCTCTGGGAGATGAAAAGCACTAAAACCGCCAGCAGTAATGCCAAAAACAGTAGCAACAACAACAGCAGCGGGGGCGAACAATCGAAATGAGAGCAACAAATTTTAACGAGCACCACAAAACCCCAACACGCCGATTTTTAAGCCGCTTCCCGCGCCCAGACAGCGTCTGCTTCGCGCTTTTGTAATTACAAAAAGTCGAGCTGGGCTACCCCTGGCGATGGATGAGCCCAAAGCAGAACGGCAGAGCGAGCAGGTGGAGGAGGCACGCATACAACGAACGATTCAACGGGCCGGTTAACCAGGATAATACTATGAAACAAATGTAAACGAGGCGCAGGAGACGGCGCAGGAGACGGCGCAGGAGAAGGCGCAGGAGAAGGCGCAGGAGGCAGAGGCCTACTGACGACGACGACGTTGGCGCTGCCAGCTGTAACAGTAATATAAAAAGTGAACAACAACGAAAAAACAAAGCGATTCAGCCTCAAATCTGCAAAAGACATTTCCAACTGTGCTTTTTACGTTCTTCTCACAAATGAAGCGAACGCCGCGGCGCACCGCGAGCACAGCTTCTCCCACTTTACTGCAGACCCAAAAATGGTCCCGAGCAAACAGATAAAATAACTTTTGGAAAAAAAAATGTTAGCTAAAATAGTTTGAAACACTGGGCTGCTCGCTTGTCTAATAGAACTGATAACAATTATAGTTTGTGAGTTGACTGGAATGAAGTAAAAACTCTTTTTTTAAATAACGTAATGGATTCGGGGCCACGAAATATGAATAGGTATTATTACAGAACGGATGAACATAACAATAAGGTAAAATTTGAAAAAAGGCTACACTTATTATATACATTAGGATATATACATGTAGGATGTAGGATATGGGATTTACTTATCGATGATTCAAAAGTTTGATTCAAACTGTAAGCAAAAGACACATCAAATATTTAAGCCATTCATTGTTAGAAAAATAAGCAAAACTTAAATATTTTACATTAAGCCTTTAAAAATAAATATTTCAAACACTAATTCGATGAATAAAAGCTAAAAGGCATGAGGCTGCGCACTTAATTAAAGCACCATTAGTGCAATTATTTTTGTCTCCCATCGACTTTTGCAATTAGAAGCCATTCAGCTGGCCATCGATTGGGTGGGCGCAGCTAGGCCAACAGTTGGTTTTGCAGCTGGCCGCAGCAAGTGCAGCTGCTACGGCCACTGTCTGTGGCATTCCCTTGATGCGAATTTCGCGACGCGGCAAATAAAATCTAGCATTCAGGTCTGGTAGCTTCAGCTCGAAGTATTTTGATTTCCCTCGCCGCGGCAAAAAAAGGAGGCAAAAAAACCAACTGCGCACCATAGCGGAACGGGAGTTTCGCTACCTACAATGTGCCCGCAAATCAGAACCAAAACAAAACGCCAAGTGACGAAGACAACGGCGACGGCGAAGTCGAGGGCGACGGCGAGGACAACAGAGAGTGAGAGAGAGAGGGAGCGAAAGCGAGTGTGAGGGCGACAAGTGTTCAGTGCTCGCCTGGCGTGACCGACGCATGCGCGATGGCTGCACAAAATGGCGACGGCGAATTCAAAATACTGAGAGCTGTCGAAGAGCTTCAGTTTTAGTTGCTGCAGGACTGTCGCGAGATAAAGTTGGGCCGAGCGCACGAGCGAAGACGCCATGTGAGCATCGTCTTGAAGGTACGCGCGCGAAATCATTTTGAATCCGCACCCCCGCATCTTGTGTAGAGACTGACTGCGTCGTCGTCGGCGGCGTTGCTAGTGTATACATACATATGGACATGTGCGTGTTTCTGTCTGTGCTCGTCGTCTAGGTGAAAATTCAGTGAAAGTCGGAGAGGGCATCAAAGTCAAGTGGAAGTCGCTACGCTCCAAATACATACCGGCTGCCACGCCCACAACAAGTAGCGATGGAGCACCTGCGTC